TGTTTTATTCTTTTTTTTTTTGGGGGGGGGGCTCAAATACATAAAATAATAATTGAAAAAATTTCAATTTCCTGCTGAACGAGTAGAACACAGTAGTATTATTATGAGATACATTCATAACAAATAGTCGGGTATAAAACCGCTGAAAAATAAATTAAGTATAATTGCTGTTAAATTAAACGAGGCATTAACGAGCCGAACTCGAGCTCATTTAAAGCTCGTTTCGTTAACGATCCGAGTTCCACTCGGCTCAATAAGACTTGTTAAGGTTCGAAAAGAGAATTTTTATATAATTTTGTATAGTTCAACTCATTAAGCTCGAAATCGACTCGTTAAGGCTCGAGCTCGAAACCTTCACGGACCGAGCTCGAACACGATTTATGGCTCGTTTATTTAACGACATGGGCGGATGTACATAGGGGCCCGTAGGGGTACGGGCCCCTGTAAAATTTTGTGTAATATAATATATGTATATGTTGTATGTATAAATGTATTATTATATTGAGATAAAAAATATAAGTTATTATTAATTATTATAAAAAAATGAAATGAAATGTTTAAAATTATTTAAACTTCAATAGTATGTTATTTTTTAAGCTGTGGAATTTATGTTTATGCTATACTCAAATTCTTGTTTATTTATTTTCTACCCCTAAAATACATAAAAATAAATATTATACATAAATTGTTAATTAATCAACACCAACTTTAAGAAGTTTCTTAAAATATCTAGTATATTTAATATATAAGGCAAAATTGCATTTTGTGCCCTGTAACTATACGTGTGTGGCAAATGTGGACAGCTTCTTTTTGGTTTGGCAAAAGTGCCCCAAAACTTGTTAAAACCCGGAATTCGTGCCCATTTACCTACAAGTTACCGGATATGATCGGTTTTTCGTGTGACAAAACAGGACAGTAACTTGTTAAAATTTGAAATTTGTGCCCAAATTGGGCACGAATTTCGGGTTTTAACAAGTTTCAGGGTACTTTTGCCAAACCAAAAAGAAGTTGTCCACATTTGCCACACACTCCTAGTTACGGGGCATAAAATGCAATTTTGCCTAATATATAATTAGTTAGAAAGAAATTAGTTGATAGTTAGTATAATTAGGTAGTAATAAATGATGTTTTAACTAGTATATATATGTGTGACGTGAGTGAGTTGTGTAGTGTGATAAAAATCAAGAGAAAATATTGGGTATTGTTTGTGGTGTAAGTGAGTTGTGAGAACATGTGTGGGTAGAGAAATAATATTGAGTATAAAAGAGTGTATTATAATAAAATAAATAGTGTATTTTGGTCTTGATAAGTGAAATATTTATTTTGGTCTATAATATTTAGTATCCACGTGTTGTGTGTGTACCCAACTCAACAAGTGGTATCAGAGCCAGGCGAGTTAAGTCTGGCGTTGGTTGAGGTACGAGTTATTGTGTCAAGCTTCTTGGGTGTAGTTTTGCAGTTTCGTACTGCGAAGTTCGTGTGCAGTTTAGTACTGCAAAGTGTGTGGCGAGTTGATCGAGTGGAGCCACGATGGCAGATCTTCAAGTGGTCGGAGGTATTAAGAAGCTTAACAATCAGAATTACAGCATGTGGTCGACATACATGGAGTCGTATTTGCAAGGCCAAGATTTGTGGGAGATTGTGAGTGGCAGTGAGGTTACACCACCGGAGGACTCTGCATCTTTGAAGAAATGGAAGGTTAAAGCTGGCAAAGTCATGTTCGCTATCAAGACCACGATCGAGGAGGAGATGCTGGAGCACATTAGAGACGCGAAGACACCAAAGGACGCATGGGACATATTCGCGGGGTTATTCTCGAAGAAGAACGATGCGAGGTTGCAACTTTTGGAGAACGAGCTTCTATCCATCACGCAACGAGACATGACGATAAACCAGTATTTCGCTAAGGTAAAGTCTCTTTGTCGTGAAATTTCTAATTTAGATTCTTCTGCTGGTATGTCGGATTCACGGATAAGGAGAATAATCATTCACGGATTGAGGCAAGAATATAGAAGTTTTATTGCTGCTGTGCAAGGTTGGCCGACCCAACCTTCTCTTGTAGAGTTGGAAAATTTGCTAGCTGACCAAGAAGCGTTAGCTAAGCAAATGTTTCAAGCCTCATCCAAGAATGATGAAGAATTACTTTTCGTAAAGAATATCAGAGGTCGACACAATAAAAATTTTCATTGGAGGAAAAGAGATGACAACGACGAAGATGAAGACGAGAGGAGTGCTCATTTAGGGGGAGCACAAAAGAAAGAAAATTTGAACGATCAACCTCGAGAAAGTAGAAGATTTGAAGGGAAATGTTATAACTGTGGAAAGAAAGGCCACATAGCGAGGAATTGTTGGTCGAAGAAGAAGTCAGCGGAAGGAAACGCAGTCACATCGGATGAGGCACACAAAAGTGAAGATGAATGGGATCTTGAAGCATTGTCAGCCGTAATTGAAGAAGAAGAAGTTGGTGAAGAAGTCGAGATGGCTTTAATGGCAACGGCCGCTGAGCTTGTCGACTCAGATGATGAGTGGATAGATAACTCTGGAAGCTCAAGTGACGAACCAGAAGACATGAAGGAGTTACCAAATCCAGTCGAGTATAGTGAAGAGCGTATGGTGACAATTGACAATTTGATGTTGTCAATCGTTGACATAGGTGAGAAAGAATCGGCTAAGGAAGATAGACTTGACGACAAGCTAACAATAAGACACGGGATAGTAAACGAGCATTGGAGAAAAGTAGAAGATCATTCAAGCGACAAGAGCCCACAAAAGCATAGATCAGCGAGAGTACGAGTACCAAGCCCGAATCACACAAGGAAAATATTTACAGGCCCAAACTTATGTGAAGATGCGTTTTTTGAAGTAAGGTGGCCGAAGATTACGATGAGACAATATTGGTGTTGAGGGGGAGTGTTAATTAATCAACACCAACTTTAAGAAGTTTCTTAAAATATCTAGTATATTTAATATATAATTAGTTAGAAAGAAATTAGTTGATAGTTAGTATAATTAGGTAGTAATAAATGATGTTTTAACTAGTATATATATGTGTGTCGTGAGTGAGTTGTGTAGTGTGATAAAAATCAAGAGAAAATATTGGGTATTGTTTGTGGTGTAAGTGAGTTGTGAGAACATGTGTGGGTAGAGAAATAATAATGAGTATAAAAGAGTGTATTATAATAAAATAAATAGTGTATTTTGGTCTTGATAAGTGAAATATTTATTTTGGTCTATAATATTTAGTATCCACGTGTTGTGTGTGTACCCAATTCAACATAAATGTGTATAATATATATGTGTAATATATAGAGATTAGATTAAATGTGTTCTTATTCTTAAAATGTGGATGTGACTCAGTCCTAGCTATTTTTTTTGGTACAGGGACCTTCCGGTTTCCGGATCCACAGTGGAACCGACTAATCCGGAATCAAGTCGGGTAGGACCACAAGGGCGGCAAAGCTCTCCCTCAAGAGTTTTAACACTGCTGCATTCCCAGGGCTCGAATACGAGACCACTGGTTAAGCTGGAAAAGACTCAAGCCATCTCATCCAAGCGCTCTTGGGTAAGAAGCAATGTGTACTTAAAATTTAATCTTTTTTATTTTTTTAGTTGGTTAAATATTAATTTGACAGTTGACTTTTGTCATTGATTGTTTACCGTAATTTGTGTCCCATTGTCCTAAACGTCTGCTTCCGCCCCTGTTAAACAAGGCTCGGCTCGTTTACAGGTCCCCTGTAATTATTTGTGTCTTGCATGCAAAAAGTCATGGACTAAAGGTTAGTGATTTCGTAAGGTTAACTAAATTTTGAAATATTAGGCACATTTTCATGTAATATTCAAAACGGTATAAAATTCAAGATTATCGATTGTAATATATGTCTAGGTATTTTAAATTTTCTATCGAAATAGAACGGTTATGCTATGGTGCCAACAATTGACTCCATAATAGAGTCAACCTTCTATATACAACAGTTGACTTCATACTAGAAGTCAACTATTGGTTTCATAACAAAATCACGGAATAAATCTTCCCTATATATAACTCCCGAATGCGCTGAGCCTACATGGCTGCTTCTGGTGCTTCGAAATCCTATTTGGAAAAGAATCATGCTTCGTAATTAGGTTTGGACAAATAATATTAATAAATTAATAATTAATAATCTAGGTTCGGGTATTCCATAAATATTATTTAGTCAACTTAGGTATTTTAATATCACTTTTACATAGTGAAGCACTAAGTGACTAATATATCCCTAAATTTTGATTTGCTTCCTTCAATAAGCTATTGAATTATAAATGTATTTTAAAAGTTGATAACTTTTGTATATCTTATCGGTATTACATATATAATATATCAAATTAATTATCTTTTGATGATCTTTGATTTGACATCCATATTGTATATATAAAATAAATAAATTATATTTATCTTTATAATAATAATAAATAATAATATTTATTAAAATTCATTAAAAAAATAAAATTATTTCTCAATTGATAATAAATAAAAAGTATCATAATAAATATATAATAATCTATATGTTCTTATAAAGAGTATTTAAATTTTCAAACTACTTTTTTTCATTATTTTAAATTTTAAGAAAAAAAATTAGCAAACA